CTCTCTCTCTCTCTCTCTCTCTCTCTCTCTCTCTCTCTCTCACTTTCGTATGCACGTACCCCTCTCCCGCCGTTTTATCTTTTCCTCATTCTCATTATCTCTCGCACAATGTCTGACTCTCACTACATCTCAATCCTATTGCTATTATGCTATTGTATCCTCTGACAAAGTCTTTGTATTGCCGTGCTCGGAGCGAGCGTCGGCGCGGTCGACGCAACAGCGCGTCATCGCGTCGGGTCCACCGCCTCTAATGCCGATCGGATTTAGCGAGTTTGGCTAGGCCACTGATTCCTTGTTTCTAGGGGAGGAGGACGCGAGGGTCTTGACCTTGGCCGAGCAAATTATAGCCGCCCTACCCGAGAGGATCAAGAGAGAGCAATGTGACCCCCCTTCTCCGTCCTCGCCACCGCCGCCACCGCCGTTGCCGCAGCTGGAGGATGCTTTCATGGAACAAATGGTGAGACCGATATACGTGCCCCACCCACCTCTGTATTTTCATTCGCACTATCGTCTTTCCTTCCGCCTCCTCTCACGACCTCCTCCTATTGACTTTTTCTTCTTTTTGCTTTTTTATTTTGCTTTTTTCGACAATTAAGGCCACGGGCACATTGGAGCGGATTTTTTATGCTCCTCTTTCGGGCACATGGTCACTGCGAGAAGTACTATGTGCCTATTTCGTTCCTTAATCTCTTTCATTCCGATCTCTTTAACACGAACGTATTCTGTTCGAATTTATAATGCCTCATCACGTGCTTCTACAACCTTTTAAATTTTCACATTCAATATACGTGGTATCTTTAATCGCATGTATTTGTATAAAAAAAATTTGCTTCGACTATTTTTCATTCTGGAATTCGCGATTATAGGCAAGTAGTACACAGTCGGCATTACCTTAAAGCCGACGAATTAAAAAGTGCTTGGCAAAGGGGGAGCGATAATCTTGCCTATTAACTCGATGCAATTAGCCACAATTTTATAAATTAAACTGTCAATATACGGAAAAAGCTGCAATGGATAGTTTTGAAAAAAGTAACAACAACAACAACAACAACAACAACAACAACAACAACAATAGTAAAAAATAGTAAAAATTGTAAGAATTAGAATAGTAATAGTAATAGCAGCAGCGGCAACAACAATAACAAAAACAACGACGACGACGACGACGACGACGACGACGACGACGACGACGACGACGACGACGACAGCCGTGACAATGAAATGTCAATAACGACAACGATTTTTTATACTAATTTCAGTTAAATCAACAATAACGGTTTCTCACTCTTAAGCATTTTATTGGATTATTCATAGGGTTGGACAGTATAGCTGTCACGCAATCATTCGTGAATTATTATTGCCTTTATGTTATTTTCAATCTATTTGGTTATTCAGTTATCGGACGAATTGTCATTACGTACGATTTAATATCTCTTATAACGAATTGGGAAGGATCGGTAAAGAATGAGAATTCCTATTATCGCCACTCGCGGTTCTGCCTTGAAATTCTTAGTAACCACGGCCCCCTCTAACTCTCAACTCTATCGCAAAAACCTTGCCATCCTCCGTCCCCTTCATCCCTCGCCATTAATATGGTCACTGACCGGGGGCGAAGCGAGCTCTAATTGTTTTGACGACAGCCCCTCGACACCGGCGAGCTCTTCGACTCGTACCGCGAGTGCAATGGCGGCGCGGCCTCCGTCTCCGACGCGGACGCTGAGGCCAGCCCCTCCTCGCCGTCCAGCAGCTGCCTGACCCCGGACTCGCCCTCGCCCCCGCCAACTACCGCCGACTTCTGCGATTTCCTCCAACTCCAGCTGCAACTCGATAGCGGAGTCGGCTCCTCGGGCAGCAACTGCTCGACCGACAAGGTCATCGGGAGCGCGGCAATTGGCAGCGGGACCGGGAGCGGCGCCCCCTCAAGCGGGGACGGTAGCGAGGCCGACCTCAGCAGGCTCACTCTCTCCGACCGGGAGCAGCGCGAGCTCTACCAGGCGGCCCGCATGATACAGAAGGCCTATCGCAGCTACAAGGGCAGGCAGAGGCAGGAGGAGGCCGAGAGGCACGCGGCCGTGCTCATACAGCAATATTATCGCCGGCATAAGCAGTACGCTTATCACAGGTAAGACTAGCCAGGGTACGTCGCTCTTCCCTCGCCGGCTCACCTCCAAGGTCGATAAGCCCTTGGGGTCGTTTAGTCGGATGGCTTGACTCGTGATCAGGGGCGCACGACGCGTCGCCCAATGGCTACACGGATTTCACCTCCTAACGCGTAACGACCTCGGATAAGATCATCGGCCCCCACCAACCAAAACCCACAAACTCGCCAAGTTTAACAGGTTATCCGTACAAATCCCAAATCCCAGGAGGATTTTAAGTAGCGATGAACGGCTTGCGGCTGGCGACTATCGACTGTCCTTGCGCGTTTAAAAGGCGAACGTCCTCGTTATCGTCCTCGAGTATTTGGCGTTTGGCGGTTAGGACTCTTCTATGGAAAAATTTTACATGACTCTGATGCAAGGGCATCGTCGAATTAGCTTGAGGCAGGTCGTAAAAAAAAAAATGATGAAAAAAGAAGGGAAAAAAAAATAATAAGCCCCCCACCCCAACCCACCACTCCAACACCACTCTCGCCCCAAGGCAGACATAGTTTATATCGAAAGTTCTTTCTCACTCGCGCGCTGATGTATTATTCGGTTTTACGGATAAGTCTTTAAAAATGGCCTATAAACGTAGCGCTAATTAGCGTTGATAAAATCTCGGAAAACGAGACGAGACGAGACGACACGACACGAGATGAGACGAGATGAGACGAGATGAGACGAGATGAGACGAGATGAGAGAGCGCATTATGTTTATAGAGCAGAGCTCCCGTTTAAGGAAGATTATAAAAAGTAAATTCCTCGTGAAAAAAGAAAAGGTGGCGGCTTTTGCCCGAGTAGTTTAAAAATATCAATGCCCTGAAAGAAGTTTAAAAAGAAGGTCAACGATAATTTGATGAAATTCTCAAGTATCGTAAAAAATGTTGTCTACTTTCTCGAGAGCCCCTTGACATCTCTCTCCCCGCGTCCATCCTAATAATTACATAATTAAACTAATTTTCTCAGCGTACGCGGACGTTCTCTACCGCACGTCTCGTCGCCTCGTCTCTATGATCGCTGCGACCTGATGTTCGGTCCGATAAATCGCGATGATAAAATGGTCGCTTAAAGTTCGGCAGTATAAGTCATAAAAAAAAAAAAACAGAAAAAAGAAAATAAAGAAGAAAGAAAAACAAAAAAAGAAAGAAAGAAGAATAGAAGAGCTCGGGAGGAAAGTTAAAAGGACGTAAGAGAGCGCTAGCGAGCGTTAAGAACTGCCGGTTCGTCCAAGAAAAGTTCCCCCGACGCCTCTACTTCTCCTCCATCCTTATAAAAAGTATTTAATATACGGTAGGGGCTCGGGGCCCGTGCCCATCGTCACCTATTCGCATTAAGGCAAAGTCTCCCCGCGGTCCCGTTTCGAAATAAGTCACGATTACCGGGCGACGAACTAGCGCACCGAGTCTGTCCCTCCACAAGACGGAGTTAACGATCCGCCGTACTCGTCGTCGGCACCGTCGGGCCACCCCCTACCCACCTGGCCTCACCCTCTCCGACCCCTGCGGTTCGCTCTTTTTACTCGACGGCCTATCCGAGTGTTGAGTCTCTGACCAGCAGGGGCAGTACAGGGAGCAGCGTTGAACTTTTAATTGCCATCGTAAATAATTCGGAAACTTTGCGGAGACTTGCTTCGTTTCTTACCGCGACAGGACGAATACGAATTTAAGCTGGCATTAAATTAATACTAGGACTTTGTAGGCTCGAACGAGCCTCCCCGTGAATCTTAGACGCCCGTTGACGAGACGGGGGACGGAAGTGTGCGGCCACCTAGAGGAGGCACGACTCCAACGGTGACGCTTCCGTTGTTGCGCGAAATGAAGCCGGCGACCTTGGGTGAGATCCTCCACGGCCGCTACTCCTTTCTCAAATTAATTGTCCCAAACGCAAATGACGATTCGGTTGTGGATTTTCGACCAAATTAAGGGCCATTTTCAGCCCGCGACCCCCCCCCCCCTGCCCTGCCCTGCCCTGCCCTGCCCTGCCCTTTCTTACGGACACTTTCGTCCTTGACTCGACGCTAGTAATCTAACTGGGGCCGGATATATTGCCGTCCCCTTTAATCAAGTAATTCGCAATTTTTATTTCTAGTATAAACTTTAATAATGCTGATTTAAGTCAATTTAATGCCAGGCGTTATGTTATATAAGGCCCACTCCAGTCTGCCCACTCCAGTCGAACGTTCATACTTTATTCTCGTAACAATATTAAAATGAACTTTTACATTTAACGGAGAAGAGGGATTTGATCAGTGAACCACTTCGGATGTAATGTCCAGCGCCCATTTTTCATCCCCTTTTTCTTCCTCGGTCTTTTTCCTTTTTATTTTCTTATTATTTCTTTCTCTAAAGCAATAGGCTTTAAGCTGGCTGACTTATAATCCACACGGATAATACATAAGAGCCTTTTCAATGCAGCTTTATTGTTAGTGCAAAATTCCCTGCTCTATAAACATTCAATAAAACAAAAACAAAAACAAAAAAAAACAAAAAAAAAAAAAATAAAAGAAAACTAATTTTCGTAGTTCAGTATTTATCGGTGTATTAGTTATAACGGGAAGTAAATAGCATTGACAATAATTACGACAATTGCCTCGAAAAATGAGCGGCAGAAATTGCAAATTTTGATGAACAAAGAAATTTCGTTATATTGAAGTATTTGGAAATATGAGATAATAAAAGTAAGGATGACTATTGTAATGTTGTAATATTGTAATATTATAAAGGATAAACGGCAAGATATTATGATATGGAATATTAATTGAATCGGATAATATTTGTATTCGTATCCTCTGCTAATAAAGGATACAAAACGAGGATAGAAATTTCCTTAATGCGGGCATACTGGAGTTAAAGAAAGGCAGTTGAAGAAATTAAATAAAATCTTTGCGATAATTTGTTGATATTCACAGTATTCGAATCTAACAACTCAGCGTCCTTCGCCGTCTTGATTTAATATTAAAAAGTGTTAATTTATAAATAAGAGGAGAAAAGACAAAGATATTACAATTTCCCTTAAAGATTAAAATTTTCTCTTACATAATATCAATAAAATAATTTCCAATGAGTGATGCGATTACATTAATAAGACAATGAAAATTGTCGATTAAACAGATTTTGATATTATAATCTTCAAATTAATAATTTATAATTGTGTGGCCTAGCGTACTCAAATAATGCTAAATTTTAATCTTTTACATATACCGAGAAAGGCATATTATAAAAGCTCTATCTAATGCCTCTCACTACTACAATTATATAACTGAATATTCAATGGAGACTAGCAAACAAGCGAAACTCCAAACGAAGCGATAATTTCTCAAGAATATCGATACTTTTTCGCCGCCTATAAGCCTACACGAACATTTTCTTTATTTAGCCATTTCGTAAGATTTGCCATTTAGTTTCAAGATATAGTGATCGATGGATAGATAGAGTTAGGGAGTTAGAGAGAGTTAGAGTTAGAGAGTTAGAGTTAGAGAGAGAGAGAGAGAGAGAGAGAGTGTGTGTGTGTGTGTGTGTGTGTGTGTGTGTGTGTGTGTGTGTGTTTGTGAGGGGAAGCTGCTTCGTTGAGTCAAGCCTCTTTTTACTTCCGTTCAGCCCGCATTAAACATTGCCCCGATACATTCGCAACACACCCGGGTAATATCCTAATGACAATATCCATCGCGACTTTGATGATCCGAGGTCGGCTTACAAATCTACGAAAGAAGGTGCGAATGTCGGGAGGCTTACGGCCTCGCTTCGACAGACCCGAAAATGTTCATAGGGCCCTACGAGCGCCTAAAAGTGAAAAGCGCTACTCTGCACGCAGGCAAGCGACGAAGGCCGCCCTGGTGATCCAAAACAACTACAGGAATTACCGGGCTCGTCCGGGTGCGACGACGAGCGCCAGGCAGCAGGCGGTGCACCAGCAGGCGGCGCACCAGGCTGCCCGGAAGATCCAGCAGTTCATGCGGCAATCGAAAATCAAGTGAGTTGACGCGAGCGCCGAGGCTGAATCCGGACTCCTCGACTGCTCGCGGCCATTCGCCCGACAAAATTCCCCTCCTCACCTTTGAGCAATCGCTCCTTACTCCCTACGTGCCCCAACTAAGGCACTGGTAGCGCGTTCGACGAGTCTCTCCAACCCCTCCCCCATTCACCCTCCCTCATCGCCGTACACGCACACCCACACCAGCTGGCAAAGCATCGTTTTGACCGAAAGGAGTGGAGCAAACCCGAGCGGTTACGGAAAACTCTTTGCGGCTGCGTATTTATCGGTCGTGAATGTAAAGCAGCAGCCCCTATTGAATGACGGGGGGGGGGG